GTGAGGACTGACTGATTTCTCCAGGAGGTTGGTTCTATGATTTTATCAAATGTGCATAATTTGTAAGCTCTGGGTTATTCTCCTCTTAGTAAGCCTTGCTGAGCACTGAGTAACCATCTTCTTGGGAAGAGACAGCAAAATATTCCTGTTTTTATAAAATGTTCATGTGCCATGCAAATCTTTAAAAGCCTAACAAGACAGTGCCTGACATTTCTAGGCACCTTGACTACTGCACAGAAAATAGCAGCCAACTGGCGCCATCTGGAGGGGAAGAGGAGTCTAAACAATTAAGCAAATTTAAAAACCTAACTCTAAGGTTCTAAGGACATAAGCCCAAACATTATAGGAAATTTTCAAAAAATAGAATTTCCTGCTCCTTTTACCCTCTCTTCTCTGTATGCATCTGGGCTTATCACAATGAGGTTGGGATTCATGTTCACATAGGACCTCAAATTTAGACTTGATTTCTCTCTCCAAATTAGGCTATGCACTCAGTCATGTGGCTTCATTATAAAGGGACACTCTCCTCATTACCTAATGGCACCTCTTGTGCCATGTTAACCATATTTGAAATAAATCTTAGAATTATGTTGTATCCCAAAGTGTCACCCACTGATAGTTTCCATCAAAACTACCTGGGGTATTTCATAAAACCGCAGATTTATTAGGCTTTCTGAATATTAATTTCTTTCATACACCATTAGAAAGTAAAGTAATGTAAAGTAAGATGTGTTTTTTATTTTATCAAACACATACATGGCACTTATTATGGATTAGGTACCGTCCTGAGCACTTTACAAATATTAATGTACTGATGTATTAGGTCTTCTCAACAACTATAGAAAACTTGGTGCCATTATTATTCATCCTTGACTGATTAAGAAACCAAGATGCAGGAACTTGCCCAAGGTCACATGGCTAGTATGCACATAACAGGTTCAAGCATTGTTAAAAAAAATTTTTTTAATGCTTATTTTTTTTTTTTAATTTTTTTTTCAACGTTTATTTATTTTTGGGACAGAGAGAGACAGAGCATGAACGGGGGAGGGGCAGAGAGAGAGGGAGACACAGAATCGGAAACAGGCTCCAGGCTCTGAGCCATCAGCCCAGAGCCCGACGCGGGGCTTGAACTCACAGACCGTGAGATCGTGACCTGGCTGAAGTCGGACGCTTAACCGACTGCGCCACCCAGGCGCCCCAATGCTTATTTATTTTTGACAGAGAGACAGAGTGTGAGCGGGTGAGGGGCAGAGAGAAAGGGAGACAGAATCTGAAGCAGGCTCCAGGCTCTGAGCAAGCTGTCAGCACAGAGCTTGACGCGGGGCCCGAACTCACAAACTGCGAGATCATGACCTGAGCCGAAGTCGGACGCTTAACCGACTGAGCCACCCAGGTGCCCCAGTCATGTTTTTTTTTTTTTTTTTAAAGAAAATACTTCTATTTTGCCTTTCATGTACTTTCAGTATATTTTTTCTATTTACATCCCAAAATAGAAGATATCAATATAACTATAGCTGGGCAATGAGCACAGTCTGATATGTTAGGAAATGTTCTCACTGCCTTGAATAAAGAGAAATAGTCAATAGTCACAGTAACAGACACTAAATATTCACTATGTTCTATGTTCTAAATAATACATCTTATTTAATTTTTTGGAAAACTCTAGAGATAGGTAAAACTGTAACAGATTAAAAAAAAGAATAGAAAAAGACATACCATGTTAATATTAATTAAAAGAAAAACTGGACTGGCTATATGATTATCAGACAAAGTAGATTTCAAAGCAAAGAAGGTAATTTCATGATAAATGGACCCATTCATCAAGAAGACAAAATAATCTTATATGTTTTCAAACCTAACAACATAGATTCAAAAAACATGAAACAAAAAGTGGTAGAACTGATGGGAGAAATAGGCTAACCCACAGTTTCAGAGACGTCAACACATCTGTCTCAATTACTGATAGAACAAGCAGACAGAAAATCACTGAAGGTAGAGAAAACTTGAACAACGCAATCAACCAACTAATGGACATTTATAGAACAATCCATTCAACAGTAGCAGAATATACATGTTTTTCAAATGTATATGGAATATGTGCTTAGAGAGATTATACTATGAACCGTTAAACAAGAATCGATAAGTTTAAAAAAATTCAAATCATACACAGCATATTCTCTTTCCACATGAATTACAGTAGAAATCAATGGTAGAAAGGTATCTTCTTTTAAAATAAATAACAATTTAAAAACAAAGTAAATAACATATGGTCAAAGAAGAATCTAGAAGGAAACTAGAAGTAGTTTGAGTTCGGGGCACCTGGGTGGCTCAGTTGGTTGAGTGTCCGACTTCGGCTCGGGTGATGATCTCACGGTTGGTGAGTTTGAGCCCCACGTTGGGCTCTGTGCTGACAACTCGGAGCCTGGAGTCTGCTTTGGTTTCTGTATCTCCCTCTCTCTCTGCCCCTCCCCTGCTCATGCTCTGTCTCTCTCTCAAAAATAAATAAACTTAAAAAAATTTTTTTAAAGGGATTCATAATATAAAGTGATGGTAAGAACAGGGATGAGAAAATGGATCTGAGACATCTAAAAGATAATATTCCAAGTCCTGGTGATCAATCTGCCATAGTGAAAGAAGTCTGTAGTGATCCCCAAGTTTTTAATCTTTTGATTGTTCCATTAACTGAAAAAGAAACACAAGAGGCAGAAGGAGGTCTGGTGGAGGGGGAGAAATGAGTTTAAACTGGGCATGTTGTTCCGATGCATGGGGGACGTTGAAGTGAAGATGTCTTTTAACCAGGAAGAAAAAAGTTCAGAGAATGACAATGTGCGTGGGAGGTAAAACTCTTGGCAGTGGCAACATTTTCCAAGAAAAATGCATAGAGGAGAGCATTGGGCTGGAACCCAAAGGAACCTTTTACCAAGGGCCAGAGATGGAAGGGAGATTCCTACTGAAGAGTCAGAAAGAATGGCCAGAGATATAGTGAAGGTAATTAAATATACTATCCTGGGGGTGCCTGGGTGGCTCAGTCAGTTGAGCATCTGACCCTTGGTTTTGGCACAGAGCATGATCTCACAGTTCATGGGATTGAGCCCTGTGTTGGGCTCTGCACTGATGGCATGGGGCCTGCGTGGGATTCTCTCTCTCTGTGCCACTTCCCCTGCTCATGCATACTTGCACTTTCTCTCTCAAAATAAATAAATAAACTTTAAAAAAAACTATCCTGTTCTACTAACTAATGTCTCTGTTCCAAAGATGTGTTCCCTACCCTTCCTTTCCCTATCACCCACTTTTACCCCCACGTTTTCTGGTAGCAGGAAAAGAAAGCAACAAGCAAGTGTAACTTCTTTGTCTTGAAAGAAAGAGATTAAATAGAAAGTATAAAATACAATATATGACAGCTGATATCAAGGAAATATTTTTGGTTGACTACCATGGTTCTTTTGAGTTTAATTTCTTGGTGATTACTGTATACCTGTTGACAATCTACATGTTTGTCCTCCTAGAAAACCACCAGAGAAGAGTCAGAGGCCCAGCCTCCATCATTGTGACCATCAGCAGAATGCATCTTTCAACTACATTCTATAATTTCACTGAGGTATAGGATGGTCCATCTATAATGGCACTTTTCATTGGGTGTAAAAATAACTCTTAATTGTTATCAAGTTGGGTGGGAATCATTAAATTGGCTCTTGGGTGTACTTTGGCGTTGACAAAAGGAGGGGAAAATCTGGGATAGCTGCTAGAATTTTGTGGTTCCTGTTGGGGAGGATAATAAAAGTGGTAGGCACTACAATCACTTGGGGTCTTATAGTCTGAACCATCACAGGCAGACTTGAAAACATCTAGCTAGCCAGCGATGTGCCCAGGCACTAGAGTATATATAACAGCATTTTAATTTTTTCACAGGAAGTAAAATCAGTTTCTTTAGAAATGAAGGAGAGACCTATTAACAACTAGACCCAAGGTCAGGCATCTATCTATCTATCTACCTATCTATATCTATATGTAGATATAGATATATACATTTATATGTATACTGAGTTATGGTGTTTATGGGAAGAGATGGGTGTGTAGGTGGATAGGCCTCAAAACAAGCCTCTTCAAAGGTGAGGCAATAAACATTAAACAAAGAGAGAGACAGAAGTGATCAATAATATAGAATATAGCCTAGAGGTCCAGTAAGATACAATAGCTATTGAATTTTAGAAATATGGAAGTCTTTGGTGATCCTAGTGAATTTTCATCAAGTAATGTAGCAGAAGCAGATTTTATTGTGCAGTGAGATGCCAATGTGAAGTGAACCAAAGCAATAAAGATGGCAAATGATAGACTATAATCAATAAACCTGAGAAAATATGAATAATACAATGTTTGCTTTTGTTTTCTTTTTAAAGATTTTATTTTTAATCTCTACACCCAGTGTGAGGGTGTACAAACTTACAGCCCCAGGGTCAAGAGTTACATGCTCCACCAACTGAGCCAGTCAGGTATCCCTGAATAAAATAGTGTTGAGGGAAGTAGAAACACAGGGTCAAAGGTAAACAAAAAACCAGGAGAGATCTGAGCACATTTGCAGGTTGAGGCCATGCAGCAAAAAGATAAGGAGAAAAAAAAAGACATGAGAATATGAGGGGATGATTGATTAAGGTCAAAGAGGAAACAAAGCATGTTTTCTGGGAGAAAACATAAGAGGAACATTGGTGGATGGATGACATCTCATACTTTGAATATGGAGGAAACAAGACACTAAACCAGGCAGATGTAGACAACTGTAAAGATCCCTCTATTTGGTTAATATCCCGCTTCTGAAGCTCCTGAGTGCTCTCCTCCTAACCCAGCCTCTTCCTGATTCATACCTTGCCTGCAAAAACTTGCATCCAGAAGCCTAACAATTGAGGGCATAATACCATTGATTGAAATGCCACAGTGAACATCCCTAATTTGGTTAACTTAGGTTCAAACAATGCAGTAGAGCTCAAAAAATTCAAAGCAACATATTCACTGATTTGTAGTTATATTTCTAATTTGTACTTGAAGTGAGAGCATGAGTCCAACTTGAAAAAAAATGGAATCCATGTTCCAAAGTTGCTTCATGAAGTTGATCTGTGGTTGAGGCTGTTCATTTTTTAAATCCTGGAGCTTCAGGCTGAATCATCTAAAACATTTATATCAAGAGTGTTGGTCCAGGTGACCAGGTCTTCCACTTCTTCTTCCCATGACTCATTCGTGTTAACATCATCTGGTAAAATTACACTCTTCCACCTCTCCTTTGTTCTATCGGTCTTCATGATGATATCAATTTCAGGTTGTGCATCAGGAAAATTTTGAACTATAAGAGGAAATATAAAAAAATTAAGAGACATGGCAGGGAACACAATAAAAAGAAATGCTTTCCTGCATTTGTAGCATAGCGCCTAAGATCATGTGAGTGAATGTTAGCAACCTTTTAAAACTCTCTAAATTTCACATTTTTCAATTAATTTGTCATAAATCATTCTTTCCATTCTTGTCAGTCTTTTAATGCTCTGTTAGTTCATTCATTTAACATGTATTTACTGAGTCCTGCTAAGTGCCAGTAGACATGTAGGGGAAACAGTGTCCATGACTGTGTCAGCAGCTAAGTGTGGCTGAAGTGAAATCTGTGGCTAAGTGAAAACAGTTTTGGATTTTGACAGAGGAGAGGCAATTTGCTGAACAAAGAAGGGCAGAGAAGGAAGATATGAGTACTCTAGACTGAGGACACAGCACATACTAAGGCACAGAAGTATAGGAGGACTTGACAGGTTTGGAAGTAATCAGAATCGACACATAAGCATTCATACCGTGCCAGCTGCTGTGCTAAGAAGTCTATATGTCTAATATTATTTAACTTAGATACAACCCTCGTGACAGGTAGATATTACTATCCTTATTTCACAGACGAGGAAATTGAGACTGAGTGACCTATAGTAAGCTTGTTCAAGGACACCCAGCTAATGAGAATTGATCCCAGGTCTATCAGATCCCAAATTCCTGTGTTACAGTCCATGGAGAGTTCAGTGGAGCTGGCAAGTTAGGCTGAGGCCGGACCAGGAAAGCCTCCTATGTCATCAAGCAAAGAAGATTCATCTTTTTTGTAAAGGTCTTGTAAACAGGGAAATAAACTGATTACACTTTAAAGGAAGAATATAGACATAGTATCAATATTTCTCAGTATTTCCACTCAGCATGGGGAACTTTTTTTCTAGGAATGTTTAATCCTAGTTGGTGCTATTTATATTTTGCTTACCTCTACAAACTCATTGCATTTCCCTCCCATCTGCATAGCCGCCACCAAATTCATTGCCTAGTAAGGGATCTAGGACAAATTCTGTTGGTCTCCTGTTCATTTCCCTAATAACATATCAAATAAACCTCGTAATATTCATTGTATTCTAGTTATGCTATGGACAAAAGTTATAAGCAAATTGTTCTCTTGGTCTTTTGCTTTATAGAAAGATTTGTAGGGACCTATGAATTTAGACGACTGCCATTACTCTGGGAGAATCCTGAGGTCTCCAATGATTGAGTTTTTAGTTTTGTGTTTTAATATTAATCTCTAGCTTTCATTAACTTAAATGTAAATTCTGTCTTTCCCTTGAGAAAACTTTCTACTTTATTTTCTAAGAACACATTATTGATGGACTAACTCTAGTTCTTCCTAACCTATATTTGGGCTATTCTGAATTTGCATGTTTTTGGGTACGAAAAATTCAGAGCCCCGTTCAAACCAGTTTAAATGATAAGCAAATGTCTTATCTCACAGAAGAAGAAAGTCAGACGTCAGGCAGGGTTTAATGATCCAGGGACTCAACAATATCATTAAGGACCAGTTCTTTCCACTGCTCTGCTCTCCCATCTTTGGTGTTGTTTTCATCTTCAGAGTCACAGCAAGAGAGCTATAGCCATTCTAGTACTCACATCAGACATGGCAACATTTGGAGATAAAAGGAGGTCTTTCTCTCCAGAGTCTCAGTTTCAAGAGTAGGAAAACCATCTCTTGAAACCCTCAGTATACATCTTCTCAGGCAGAATTGTGTCACACACTGCTCCTAAGCTAGTCCCTGGTAAGGGAAATGGGATTACCATGATTGACTGACACCAGTTGTTGGCCAGGAATGAATGTTGAGAGCCAATCACTTTGACCATTTGCCTCCTAGTTCCTGCCATGTTAAAAACAAAAGCTAACAACCAACCCTCCACCAAAAACCAAAACCCAAACAAACAAACCAGCCAAACAAACAAATAAACAAACAAAAGCAAAGCCTACTAGGAAGCATAAAAAGAAATCCTGGCTAGAATAGCAGAGCATAATGTAAAACAAATATAAAAAACGTTTCCTGGGGCGCCTGGGTGGCGCAGTCGGTTAAGCGTCCGACTTCAGCCAGGTCACGATTTCGCGGTCCGTGAGTTCGAGCCCCGCGTCGGGCTCTGGGCTGATGGCTCAGAGCCTGGAGCCTGTTTCCGATTCTGTGTCTCCCTCTCTCTCTGCCCCTCCCCTGTTCATGCTCTGTCTCTCTCTGTCCCAAAAATAAATAAACATTGAAAAAAAAATTAAAAAAAAAATGTTTCCTTATGAGACAGAAAAAAAATATTATTTTCAACTTCCTTCCTCCAAAAAATCTTAAGTATTATAAATCCCTTCAAGAAAACTTGGACTTACTGGTTGGAATTAATAACAAAGGTAGAAACTCTGTTACTATGTTAACAAAATAACTTAAGAAGGCACAAACACTAGGTGCGCCTGGGTGGCTCAGTTGGTTAAGCATCCAGCTTTGGCTCAGGTCATGTCTTGTGGTCTGTGAGTTCGCGGTCCATGAGTTCGAGCCCCATGTCAGATTCTGACTTGACAGCTCAGAGTCTGGGCTGCTTCAGATTCTGTGTCTTCCTGTCTCTCTGCCCCTCCCCTGCTCACGCTGTCTCTGTATCTCTCTCAAAAATAAGTAAAGATTTAAAAAAAATTTTTTTAAAGCACAAATGCTAATTGCCATATAGTTTGTATGCATTTCTGGGGATGGATCCTGGAAACTCTGCTTCTTATATAAATTTTTTACATCTGAAAATAATTTAGTTGGTAAAGATATTAAAATTTGTTCTGATTGGAAAGCTCTGATTATTGCCAAACGGTTTATTTCCATTTACTTCGGTGTTAGGCTTCAGTTAGGAAAACAGAGGCAATATAGATAATACAAGAATGAGGAGTTTCATGTAGAAGATAGGGATTACACAGGTGTGGGGAGACATAGTGGGAAGGAAGGTCTGGAAGGCAACAGCTGGAGAACTGGAAAAACAGTCACTATCTACCTTAGCCTGATGTGGGAAAACCAGGAGTTCATGGGGAAGTACAAGGGACTTCATGAATCTAGCCACCCAAAGTGGAACAAAAATTGTGAGTTCACAGACATATTTGTGAAGCCATCATTTTTGTAACGTGAGAGTTTGTAAAAAGTTGCATGAAATTGCTGTCTGAGGAAACTGACGATTTCTCAGGAAAAATGGCCTCTTCTTTCCTGCCACCTCCTAAATCTCTGATGAATTTTTTTCATTAGCCAACTATGATATGCTAACCCCCTCTACAAAAGAGGATCATAGAGTTCATTATTTATTTCAACCAAGTCATGCTTCCCTTTCATATGCTGTATAAGTTCACTGTTGCTACATAGTAAACAACCATAAAATCTCAGTGACCTATAACAGCAAGCATTTGTTTAGATCACACATCTGCAGGTCAGCTGGAGACTGGCTTATCTGGGCTGGGGACAGCTGGGAAGGTTGGCTGGGGAAGCTTGGCTCTATGGTTTTCATCTTTCTCTGTAATCAGAAGGCTAGTCAGACATGTTCTTGTGATGGTGGCAGAAGTGAAAAAGAGCGAGCCAAATAGCACAAACACTTTCCAAACACTGGCCATACCACACCCACCAATATTCCAGTGATCAAAACAAGTCACATGGCAAAATTTAAAGTCAAGGGTCAAGGGAGTACACTTTGTCCATGGAGGTAGAATAGGATAGAGAGTGAGTATTTCTGAACAATAATCTAATTTACCATAACCTTTTATATACAGTGTCTCTTCTTAGCAGTAAGATTAGATACAAAAGACAGTCTACCTCATTTCCAAAGAGGACAGTTCCAGCACTGGAGATCTAATTAGTTTCTAGATATTCCTTAAAGTGTTTTTTCTTCCAGCTTACCTTTCTTACTATTCCACTCATCATGGGTTTATTTACTTTCTTCCAGGATCAGAGCTGCTACAAGCATAACCACTCTACTTCATTGCAGTATTCATTCACTCATTCATTTATGAGCACTGAATGGCTACTAGATGAGGTGCTGTGCTGTGGCAGATTGACGGGTAAGCAGCCCCTTTCCAAAGGGGGTCATTTTCTAAGGATATTGGCAGTAAAGAGACTTATATGACATAGCATGTGTGGAGGACAAACTGTAAGGTGTCTTATCATGATCCCCTCATTCCAGTGCTCACATTTTTATGTCAACTCATAAATTTAAAGTGTGGGTGGGACGTATTACTTCTAACCAAAAAAATATGACAAAGTGATGGACTCTCACTCCTCTGATTATGTTACATTACATAAGACTCCATTTTGCTATCAGACTTGGTCTAAAGACTCTCCTTGCTGGCTAGTGAGGTGAGGTAGTAGGCTAGGTTGGAAAAGACCACATGGCAATAAACTGCAGGCAGCCTCTAGGAGTTAGAAGTGGTCTTCAGCACACAGCCAGAAAGAAGCTGGGGCCTTAGTCATAAGGATAGAAGGAAGTGCATTCTGTTAACAATCTTAGTTTGCTTGCAAGTAGCCCTTCCCCATGCAAGCCTCCAGATGACTCTGCAGTCCAGCTCACACCTTGACCACAGCTATGAGATTCCAAGCAGAGGATCCAGCTATACCATGCCTGGACTCTGGACACACAGAAACTGTGAAACAATAGATATGTGCTATTTTAAGCCATTAAGTGTGTGGTGATTTGTTGCCTAGCAACAAAAAAGTAATAGGAAGGGGGAGTTAAGATGGTGGAATAGACCCTAAGCTTGTCTCATCCCTGAAATGCAGCTCATCAGCATCAAATCATTTGGAACACCCAGGAAATTGATCTGAGGATGAACGCAACAATATGCATAATTTAAGCCAGATAATGTAGCAGGTACATGGTATGGAGAGGTGAATTGGGGAAGTTAAAGGCTGCGAAACTGCAAAGAGTAGGGAGAGTCATGAAGAGAGGACAAAGAAAAAAAGAGAAAGGAGGAGAGTGCAGTGCATTTGGATCATGCAAGAAAAGCACTCCTCCCACAAGTAG